TTTCTATTCACAAGCCTCCCTTTTCAAACAGCTTTACAACACACATGGGTAGGGCTTATAATTTTGCTCCTCTAAACAATACTTTTCTTTGGAAAACAAGCCCTGCATAGAGTTTCATCAAGTTGTTTCACTTTAAACATACTTATTTCTAGAGCACTAGTACATGCAGAAACTACAAAGGGATGAAAAGCTTAAAAAGTAGATTCTAGAAGATGAACTCAAGTCATTTTAACAAATACTTTTCTTCTAAATATTAGGATATATCTTGAAATACTCAGTGATGAAAGATTTGGTCTGCTAAGGAATTTGGCTTAATAGCTAAATACTCCAGGCTACAAAGTTAACATAGGTTAGATAGATCTTATAACACTTTACCTCGATCTGTTAAAATAAGCCAATATGAAACCAGAAAAGCATTACTAGCTCTGCTTTAGTGCCTAAAGTATCACACTATCACACTTAGAAATAGAAAGAAATCTTATCTTCCCCTTAACATGGTTATTGTAATGCTACACAGATTTTTTAAATGTTAAAAATAAAAAAATCCTTGAAAATATATTATCAGAGGGAATGAAGTATTGAACATGTTATACAAGTCATTGTTCAGGGAGAGCTTAGTCTACTTTTTCCATGCGTGATGTGTCACCATCTCCTTCAAGAGGTGGCATCTCTTCAGTTACAGCAGCATTGGTATCATCAGCAGTAGGGTGATCTTCATCAATACCCGGACCAAGTTTGATCATCCTGTAGATCCTATTAGCCTGTGTCTGGGGATCTTCCAAACTGAAGCCAGAAGACAGGAGTACAGTTTCATAAAACAAGATGACCAGATCCTTCACAGACTTGTCATTCTTGTCAGCCTGTGCCTTTTGCCTTAAGGCCTCAGTAATGGAATGGTCAGGGTTTATCTCCAGGTGTTTCTTCACTGCCATATAACCCATTGTCTAGTTGTTTCTTAGGGCTTGAGCTTTCATAATTCTTTCCATGTTTGCTCTCCAGTCATATGTGACAATACAGCATGGGATTGTCACCAATCAGTTTGACACAACCACCTTTTCAACTTTTTTCTCCAAGATGTCTTCCATGATTTTGCAGAGGTTTTCAAACTTTGTTTTCTTCTCTTCCTGTTTCTGTTTCTCTTCTTCATCTTCTGGAAGTTCCAAGCCTTCTTTGGTGACTGACACTAAAGTTTTCCCCTCAAATTCCTTCAGCTGTTGGACACAGTACTCATCAATTGGCTCGATCATATAGATCACTTCTAAGCCATGCTTCCGAAGACATTGCATGAAGGCTGAGTTACCTACCTGGCCCTTGGTCTCACCTGTGATGTAGCAGATATGTTTCTGGTTTTCCTTCATTCTGGTACAATAGTCCTTGAGAGAAACCGTCTCATCACCAGAAGCAGATGTGTAGTATTGTAATAGCTCTGAAAGCTTCTTCTGATTTTGAGAGTCATCATGTATTCTAAGCTTTATGTTTTTAGAGAATTGCTCATGAAACTTTTTGTAGTTCTCTTTATCTTCTGCCTCGATTAAAAAAAAAAAAAAAACCTTCTTTGAATTTTTTATGTCTTCCAATTGGCCCCTGATGATCACAACCACAGGTGAGTAGATTATAGAATATGGATAATCAATAGGTTTTTTTCAGATAGTAAAGGCTTGAATATGGAAGAAACGATGTTAGGTATATTTCACAGTGACCTAGTTTCATGGCCACAGCTTATTGCACCATGGTGGGCACTTTACTTAGGGACAGCAGATTCGAGGCTGATCCACTGTCTTTGACAAAGTTTGGCATAAAGTGCTCTGTCCATTAGATGCATTGAGTCCTTAAAGAGGACTATCGGCATGTGAGATGAACTGAGTCCTAAGAAGGGCGGCTTAGCTGTCTCCACCAAGATTCTTTCTCTTAAGCTTTTGAACCAAGAGTCCCAGTTCAAAGCTCGACTACAAGAAACATGCAATGCAGTTGAACCAGGTTAATAGTAGAGCATTAGTAGCTCATGAATTCCTGTCATGGATTTTTTCAGAGACACTTGGCCTATGAATCACTCTCTTCTACCCTCAGCAAAAGCATTTCCATAATTAAGATCGGGTTTATTTTGTGAGATGGTTATATCTCTACCATTGGAATGTTCAAGCAGAGAATAGATACCTGTAAAGTTAGACTATAAGCTGTATTAAATATATGTATTCCTGGGCTCTGCTCTAGACCTATTGAATAAGAATATCCTAAGAATGAGTTCAGGTAATATACATTAAAAATAGCAATAATAACAATAAGAACTCTCTCTTCCAGGTGATTTTGAGGTAAATCTGTCAGACATGGGAAGAAAAAGGCTATGTGACTATTCTGGCTATTAATTGCTGAATGACGAACTATCTTAACATGCAGTGTCTTACCATTTTTATCATATCTCATGACTTTGTGACTCATGAACTCAAGCAGGTTTCTGCTGAGGGATTCTTCTGTGCCATCTGGCATTGGCTAGGGATGCTTGGTGATATTTCACTGGAGTCTGGTTTCATCTGGAATATGCAAGACAGCTTCACTTATATACTTGGCATGTTGGTGGGCACAGCTGAGCCCTTCTTCCTCTCCATATAGTCTCCGCAATTCTCCTTGTGGTCTTTCTAACAAGAGAGTTGAACATCTGAGGTGGTGGCTTGGCCTAAAGAGATGGCTCAGAGCTCTCGCGTGCTGACAGTCCTCTTTAAGGCTAGGCTTGCATCTGGCATGTGTCACTTTCACTCTTCTTTATTGGTTTAAGTTGTCACAAGCCAGCTCAGATTTGAGGAGAGGGAAAATAGACCCCCATCTCTCAATGAGAGAAGAGTTACAGAGTTTGTAGCCATCTTTAATCCATCACGATGGCCTCTTAGTTTATTGTAAATTATGTCTTTAAATCCTGAGGGGATGGCATATAAGAAGGACAATTACAGTCTCTAGGAGCTGCATGGGAAGATAGTTGGCCAGCAGGGCATTGCTAGGCAAAGGGATGTCTGCCTTATCCTCTGTTAGAAAAGGAAGCACATAATGATGAAGGGAACACAAACAGAGGGAGGTGGACTAAAGATAATTTTATCCTAGGCAGAGTGTTATTTAAAACTGTTTCAAATCAGAGTAGCCCACTGAAATAGGATGGCAAAGAATTTGAGTCTGTAGGTTACTTGTGGATTGAAAGTGATATTATTTGCTAAATTCTCTCCAAACTTATGTCACTATATGCTATCAACCACCAGAAATAATGATAGTAACAATTACATCAATACATTCAATTTGTCATTCTTTCAAGTTAATATGAATATATGCATTCTTTACACTGAAATAATCTATATCTTTTAACTGAAAAGGAAAGAGAGGAGAAATATTTAACTAAAAGTCCTTTAGATTTTTAAAAGATATCATTAAACATAATAATAGGGTTACTGCTATAATTTTTCTTGGAAGCTGAACTGATTGTATTTCTCCCATTGTAACTTAAGTCTTCTGAATTGCCTTTCTT